ACGATATCACCATGGAGCAGCAGCTCCCCCAGAACGATGTCGCAATGGTGGTGCTCCAAGGGCCAATTCCCCCTGCCAGCGTCGTCGTAGACATGGCAGAGCCCGAGGAGCCGGCCCAGCCTGTCCCCGTCGTGGACATGGCCGAGCCGGAGGAGCCAGCTCCTCCCACCAGCAAACCGACGGAACTCAACGGGCCAATTCCCCGCGCCGTCGAGGTGGTCCCCGTCACCGAGACAGCGCAGCCCGAAGAGCTAACCCCCGACGTCGGCGACATTGTTCCGGATGCTGCTCCGGACTCCCCCCAGAGCGCCTCGCCCCCGCGATGGCCCTCTTTCGGAGAAGGTGAGACGGATTGGAGAGAGCAGAGCGCGTGGTCCGACGACGATCTGCAACAGCAGGTCCCGTCGAGGCCAGTCACGCCTCGTCGCGAAGCGGAGATCCGGCCGGGAATCTCCCCTGGATCGTCCCTCGAGGAGGAGATGATTTGCGCTCTGCTGGGAATAGCACCCGGCAATCTTTCGAGGTCGCCATCGCCTGCCTCCGACAACGAGGACGCTCCCCTGTGGGCGTTCCCGCCAGGCATGGCCGACATCCCCGGTGGTGCTACTTCCACCAATCTATCGTTGAACGATCTCTTCGACCTCCGCCAGCAGGTCGAACCCACTCCCCTGTGGGCATTCCCGCCAGAGATGGCGGACGCTGGCGCCACCAACAGGTCCCTCAATGACCTTTTCCGGACGAGCGAGGGCAATCCTGCCACCGAAGGCGCCGCTGACGAACCTTCGGCGGAGGAGCAAGCCCCAGCCGACCCTGTTGTGCTGCCCGGACCGGATCCAGTCGCCGAGGCGCAAGAGCCAACTCCAGAGGACCAGCCCCAGGCGGGCAGTTCTGAGTCCCCCGACGACGACAAGGCCACCCTGGCCCCTGGAGAGGAGGTTGCTGAAGAGCAGCCTCCCGCGACAGAGATTCCGGCCTCAGCCAACATTCCGGAAGTCATTGTGACCCCCGAGCCAAAGAGAGTGGTTCAGGTTGACGTCGCGCCTATCAAGATAGGGGGGCTTTTCTTCCCCGGCGGGAACACCATCCTGCCCGTGACTCCAGCTCCCGTGACACCGTTGCCGCAGCCGGTCAAGAAGGGTCCCGACCCAGAGGCTGTGAAAGAAGCCCTGGCGAGGGACCTGCGCAACATCATGAGGAGGCGACAACAACCTGCTTCCATTTTCCACGCGAAGCGCCCGGAGAAGTCGTCGGCTCTGATTCGCTCGCCACACGCCGCGGAGAGAGATGCTCAGCTTCGATCTCCGCAGCCCCTCCGAACCCTCGCGGGTGCTGGAGCGGGTGCCGATGGCGGAGCGGATGCCGATGACGAGACACCGGCCAGCGTGACGATCGCATCGCCTGCCGTTA